GACATCTATTTTATAGGGGAGACGATAGAGGCTGGGGGCAGATTGATGCAGAACTGCTTTGGGATTGTTTACCTCCATTCAGCCCGTCACGTCTCTGACCACCAGCTGAACCCGGAAAGACAAACGTGCGCTCACACACCTGGCGCGGCTGATCCACCACTAAGGTTTACCAGATGGGTCATAATCAATTCACCGAACCGAGGTTCATAAGTGCCTCGCCACTTGTCATTCTCTATCGCTGCGGATCCCTAGTGATGTCTGATGTCCCATCACATTCAAGCATCACTACCAGCACTCCCACTTCCAGCGATGTGGACTCAATTCATACTTGTCCGCATTGGGATCACACATCGGTCTGGTCGGTCGATCGCACGGAGACCGGCAAACTAATGCCTGGAGCAACAATCTCCACTTACCGCACCGGCCTAAACGGCCCTCAGTCCCGCTGTAAATTCACTCACTGCATGGGTTTATTAGGTCACATGCACATCCACGAAAACCTGTGATAGACAACAACCGGCTACATCACACATTCCCCACCGAAAACCGCATCACACCAAAATATCACCACTGCATCACTCGACTGCCACATCCTCCGCAAGTGGGAGCGTGCTTCTCGGCTCCGTCTCCATGCGGCTTCTCTGCTTCATGTATTATCCAAATCCGAGACTATCACGGTACGCCAAACGCCGTGGCTTGAAGGGCTGCCGACTGACGTCTCAACTCAGTCCCCACAGTCTGTCCAGTTGTGTGTGTGTGCTCGTGTGGAGTGGCGGACTGGGGTGCTGAGATCCCGACTGTTACGATTCCGTCCTAACCGGTCTGTGACCCTCTCACGTATGTGAGGAGTGTGTTTTACTAAACGGATAGGGCCTTTCAGTCGCTGATTGACTGGTTACGCAGCCTTTGAAGGGTGATGACCCAGGCAGATGCATGGCTGCATGTCACCTTTCTGGGCCCCAAGGTTTGTGAGCATCTGCTACGCCATAATCAACAAACCATGACCCTCGCAGCCTGGTGTGCGTTGGCAGTTCTCTAGTACCTGGTTCTCTGGCGGTGGATGTGCTTGTACTCCCGCCGGGTATGTAGGTCTTGAGCATGGCTGCCTAGTCATTCGCGTCCTTTTTATTGTTGTTATTGGTCAAATCCTGGCCGAGTGCTTGTTTTGGTTGGGGATGCGGATTCGACCGCCAAGGTGCGCGTTCGGCCGCGCCATCCACCCACGTCCTCCTAGCCTCTGGTCCCCTTGACTTTGTCTTGACATCGGGTGCGGGTGAGGAGGAGACAGTGCGGTAGATGCTGCGCAAGTCTACTCCCACTGCAAACTAATTCACGCGCAAGGTATCGTGCCTGCTTCACCTTGTTGTGAAGCACACGGTGGACATCGTTGGATGCTGTGGAACTGTCACTAGCACGCCAGACGCGATGGGTATGTTTGTCATGTTCAGCACTTTTTTCACGCCGATGGGGCGTCCACATCGTGATGGGCGCCTGCTAGAGGGCCTCTGCTATGATAATGTAGCAACGCCTCCCCGCAGACGTGGCGGACAAATCAATGGTTCAGTGGCATCCTGACGATCTAACTCAGTAACTTACGAATCGGCCAAGAGACCTGCGAAGTACCTGCACAGGATACACAGGCCTAAACTGATGCCGCAAAAACCTAAAGTCAAAACCCTCAGTAACACCTGAATGCAGGAAACCAAGAAGCGTCATGCACGAAGGACGGTTATGCCGTGAAATCGTGCGGACCCATTGGGTAATATGCGCTTTCGCGAAATCAGTCGAAATGACATTCGAATAACTCATACAGCGACAATGCGACCAAGTTTACTAGCATGCGGCCTACCGTATTTGTGGATGTCTGTCCATGGAAAACGTTAGACAAAGACGATACCATCTCAGCTAACATGTACATGATCACATTTAAAATACTCGGACGCCTGTCACGGCAAACGTCGGAGGTGCGCAGCGCCAACCGGGGCTATGATTTAAGGCAGTGGCATCATCCACCTCTAAAACCTATATCTGATCCAGATCAATGTTCATTTTCATGATCGAATCTAGTCGGCTTTCAATCGTATCCGGCATCATGGTGGTCAGCTTACTTCAAGCTTCCTTAACCCGACAGCAGATACGGAGCAGGAGTTTAATCTTCAGGACAAGGCGCTCGGCACCGCATATTACGCTGGCCTTCAGTCATTGTGAGAACGAAGTCCAACAGTTCCCAGCGAACACAGCAAGGGCGTATCCACGCTATCCTCTACCGGTTTAAGAGATGGAACTCAGTTGTCGTGGGGATTATGCTCTGTGCATGTCCGCAACAGGAGTCGTTACCGTCACAGTTGCCTATTCTGTGGCGGCCAGCGCGCCCCTCCGGGTTGCATGATCTGCGTCTGTGTGGATTCCGTATTTGCTAAGAACAATCAATCTGAAGAAGAAGGGTGATCGAGCACCGGAATAGTCTGTTCGTTGTTGAGCTTTCGAACTCGTGCAGGAGCCCATCGTCAGAGATAGTGGCAGCAACAGAACGAGCTACAGTTGTGGGGCGTGGTGACCAATCACTGATCGATGGCCCAAGACTGGAGGTGACTGCGCAGAGCTCTCCACACCGGCGCTGGATCGATAAATCATATAGAGACCTGCGCAGAGCTGGGAGAGGGGAATGAAGTCCGACAAGGAAGACTAAAGAAGTATTAACCGTGTCTGCAAGAACACAGTGAATGGCCTCATTCTGTTTAATTCCGAAGTCAACAACCGTGCTGAACGCAGATTGGTGGAGCCCTGAGTGAGAGCTGGATGCGAGCGATTCACAGGTACCTAGCCTATTCTATCGATGCGTCCGGTTGGACCGCAAACTTATCTGTGGCGGCCGTGAAATCCGAAAAACAGATACAACCCTTTACTGACGCAATGCTATAGATTGCATTTAAAATAACGAAAAAACGACTCATTTATTGAACACCGCATGTATTGGAGTGGAAGAAAATATACTTACACTGCCTCCTACCCTAGCCAGGAGAAATCATATCACAAACACCCCCTTGTCAAAAATACCCTCACATTAAAAAAATAAAAAGTGGGGAAGTAAAACCAAGGCAAAAATGACAGTATGAAAATTACAACTAAAGGGAGGGGATGGGACAATAAAGGCAGAACTGAATGTAAAATGGTGGCGATAGGAAGGCATAAGGCGCAGAGCCAGTCTGGCATACTCGTAAGATGGGGTGAAATAGAGGAATGTGCTGCTAACGACCGGCATGGCATCCAGTGAGACGTGGGCGAAAATTCACCGGCGAGCTATGAATCTGTCAGGAGGCGCAAGATACACCCTGGAGGCGCTGTGCTGGTATCCACTGTGCCACAAGCGCTAACTGCATACTCGTTTTGTAATTGTCATTCCACCGACTCTTGTTACAGTCTCCGTACACTTTATTCCGCCTAAAGGAGAGATGTCAAGCCGTAATTAGGCCAGGATAGTAGCTGGTGGAGGCTGCACTTCAGGAAGCTAAACATGATGAAGGCAGAAACAATTCGGAAATTTTTCAATAACAGCTTCTCCCACAGCCAGCATTGCAACCATCTTAACCATTTTTGAAAGTATCATGGGGAAAGCAGAAGGCAGAAGTGGCGGGTGTACAGGATGTGTAATATTTATAGGCTGCAGCTTTACGCCATCTTACTAAATTAGCGACTAGGTATTCAACGCGGATGTTCGTACCTGATGTGATTATGGCCTGATCGCCCGCGTCTGGGTGGCCATTTCATACCCGCTGTAGGTCATTTGCATGATAATGGCCAGGCAATTTGACTCAACAGTACCGCCACCGGAAGCAGTGCTCATCAGTGTGACTGATTACTCTGTTCAGGCTGGCTTATAGCATTTACTCGAGAGGAAACTAACCGCGCTTGTGGAGTAACTGTGGGACAAGGACCCATGAATCAAACGGACCTTGACTCACGCAACTTTCACCTCTCGCGAGGATTTTGGCCTCATCGGACTTGAAAGTGTGGTCTGGTCTTGTCTAGCGGGTCGTGACTTGGGAGTTTTCGTCATTCCTCATTACCACTTTCAATCATTCGTGCACAAAGAAGTCTTTCCGTTTCAACAATGTGGTTGCTGTACCCGCAGCTACGTTGCCGACACCCATTACAGCAATGCCTGACGTCTTTGTTCCCCACCCCGCTGAGCCAACGGCATTCGCCTTCCCTGTGGGCGATACGTTCTGTCCCTGAGTGGTATATCGACCCGTAAACCGGATTCGACGACTTTAAGAACGCACTTTGCCACGCAAAGTGCGAAATTTGCTTAGATAGGCGGGTTGCACAGATACGACGGTGTACGTTACCTTGCGGAATATAAAACGGCGGTCCGCCTGTTAATCTACCTGCCGCTAATAAACTCTTCTTCAGGTAGCCGGCAATGGGGCGACCTTCGGCGAATAATACCCGCGAAACAGGCAGACTTTGACGTCTAACGAATGGGCAGCTGTAGACCTGTAGCCACAAAACCATCAGGGTGGGGAGGGTTGAGGTCTGGCACCCCGACTACCTTGTCCAATTGAATGATTGAGAACACCGACCGCCAATGAGACGAACATTTGAGTAAAAAATCTTCGGTCAAGCAAACTGGACGACTGCTGGGGACGCGTCTGTAACACTAAATTATCAGGACACAGTGTGGAAGCGTGTCAAAACACAACACTGCGGTCATGAAACGGCGTTCGACGTGTCGCGCTACCCTTGTCTAATGACACATACGAACAGCCAGTAGGCTGCAACATTCACTCGCGAATGGACATTTGGTATCCAAAACTCGAGCGAGAGAATTTTGGTTGACCCTGGCATCCACAGCCCCCAGTACAGCCTTCAAACAAACAAGGAGGGCAGTCGCTGACCGTCATGTGTTCTAACTTCATGTTCGGTGAACTTGGGTTCTTTCGTCTACCATGCGGCTACCTTGATTGACGTGATGTAGTGATCGTCCGGTACGGACGAGCGAACTGGACCCCGTCCAGATGCGGAGCAGAGATTGCAGAGGCAATCAACACAGTGAAAGAGCAATATTGACAGGCATGGTAACTGCGCAGTATCCAATGCACACGACTAAGTTTATGGGCTAAACAAGAGTCACGTTTAACGAACAGCAGAGGATGACTCACCATCACTCCTGTGAGCTGTCTCTGAGGCAAAACTCCTCCCAAAATGCATACTCTCAGCAAAGTTGAAAGGGTCGAAGGAGTCATCGAAAAACGAGGCAGAGGATTCAAACGGCGGAAAGGTGTCCGCAAAATCGAATGGGTCCGAAAAGGGGGAATGAGGCCCGAACGGAAACGAGCTGGGGAAACCCCCCGTCCATTCGGATTGTGCATGGGCTCCAGGATTGGCTACGTATTGTTCGTGACTCATGGAATCATAAACCCTCCTCCGCTCCTCATCTGACAGGACTTCGTAGGCTACAGGGAAGGAAAAAATGCACAACTCATGTACACTGCCAACTAGGAGGCGAATACTCGGGCAAAAGTTAATTAGTCCTGGTTTCTTGACAAGAGGCAATCAAATATGTATGATGTAGCGGCTCAAACAGCCGACCGAAAGTGCCGCAATTGTGCATACACTAAAGCAAACACCCAAATGTACCGCCTTTGTCGTCAGAAAAGGCAACAAATTGAAAATGGTCTGATTTACAAAGGTAGTCAAACATATGCGCTAGGGCACATAGGAAAAACCTGACCGCAAGAGGCTACCGAGTAGACTTCAAAATCTTCAAAGAAATTGCTTGGGTGCTCAAAACGAGTCCCATCAATAGTGCAACTGTTTCTAACCGCACCAATAAATAACTATGACGACGGCGGTCAAAGAATCATGCGGGATCTGGACTCCATGGCAGCGGCAATCTCTGATAGCTAGTACATCCGTAGCATGATGTTGTCCATTTTTGCAATCAGTATTCAAAATGTGGGCCTGCATCGTAGATCAGAAACATTTCCTACAGGGAAGGCTATGTAAGTAATTATTTCGGTTGGCTGTAATGTTTCGTTTTCTGAAATCGCCCACCTGCATATCTAAATTTGAAAAATTGAATCGTAAGTTGGAAGTGTGTGTGCGCACGACAGACGTAAATTCAGCGGCTGCAAATTAACTGCAATTTGCCGTGGCTGGTAGAGTGGGACGTGGCGTGAATACATGGTCGGTGCATCCATGTTCGGCTAGGAGCCCAGTTTACTTGGGCCTCGTCTTAAATTTGCATACACTGAAAGCGGGTGGGAATGGCAATAGCAAAGATGTTTGCAGCAACGTAAATCAGACTCGTACCCCAGTTCTTCTACTTCATTTTACCTCACTTCTTGAATACAGGCAAAAAGAATGCTGGAGCCGAAGGGATCAGAAACAACTTCATATTGTTACGCCTCTCTAGTTACCTGATGGAGTCAGGGCGACAGTGTCGATACAAGACTTGTTGATTTAACTGGAAATACGGTTCCATTCGGAGTCTTGTTGCGCAGCCTAAACATCCCATTTTTTCATTAGATGTGGCGTCACACAGCAGGCCACAGACTAGAGAGGGAATAAGTTGTGCTGCAGAGGAGGACGAGAGCGTGGTGGGAAGTTGATGCGCTGAACGCGCCCGCACAAGCACTCGGCTCCGGCTGACTTGTTGGCCGTGCGGCCACCATTAATATCGCGGACAGTCACTCAGTGCAAGGGATCTACCACAAACCTGACGAATAATTTTGGTAGTTTTCGGGAGTCACTGACTTTTCAGGTCTGTCCCATGAGGGTCGGTACTCTGGTGCAATAGTTTTGCGGTCATTCCTAGTCGACTTTGCCGCTATTCTTCAGAGTTGACTATAGGAATCATTGCTGTTGGGCTTGATTTGAATTGTCTGGACAGACAACTGCACGCTCCTTCAAGGTAGTCCATCAACCGTGATGCACCTCCCTGGATCTGAGATGTCTGAGCCGTCTGGCTAAAATAGGACCTTACTGATTACCAATACAACTGCCTTCTTTTTCGACTCGCGACACAAAGCGATGCCGGTCTGCTGTGCTCAGAGCCTCGGTTGTATCAAGTCACAGTAATTACGCGACATCAAGTCGTCTTGCATGTGACATCTTTTATGGGCGCAAATGAGGTGAACTTCCAGGCGCGCACGAGCAACAGGCGTTGTTACTTTTGACAGCACGTGTCGAACTGTTATCATAAACCCAGTTTACCGAACTTTGAGCTAACTATGATGCACTCAATCTGGCTGGTTGTACGACCGACGCCGGTTCTAATCAACGGATCTCAACATTCTTCCACCACTTTTGTTCCTACAGCCACAACCAAGAAAGTCAAAAGGGTGACTGTTTGAAGAGTCGCCAGGTTCAGCTGCCGGCCAGTCCGATTCCCCGAATCAATCAGTAAAGCACCGTGAGGGTGTTTCTCAATCAGTTGTAGCAGTTGCAAGTTTCGCCGCGCTGGCCGTCAGCTGACGTCGACGCATAAACAGAGATGATAGAGGCATTAGTAGAGCGCACCTCCAATAGTACGTAGACTAGTTATACTTCGTCCGAGTGTAATCATACCTTATCTAACCAGTCTCATGATGCCACGCATTGTGCCTCTCCGTGCGTTATGATTTGCGGCAGAGAGTCCGGACAGCTCGATCCATGCTCTTCTCCAACGGCGGAGACTGAATACCGAAGGTCAAAGAATCACTTCCATGTCTTGACGAACCGTCTGGATCCAGGTATTGAGTTGACCACCTTCGATGACTCCAGGTGGGCGACGGAGACGGAGTGCGGTATAACTGAGCTAGGGTCTGGCACGTCGACAGCCTTATAAGATGTCGCAAAGTTCGATGACGGCACTGCGACATGGCGGCCGTGCATCGTCATTAAATAGGTTTGCTTTCTAACGTTGTCGTGTAACTGGGTTTTTTTAACCAATGAACTTGAAGAAACAACCGAGATTGGTGACTACCAACTTGAAGATGCCGAATGGACAAATCAAGGACGACATTGCCTGCCGAATCGATTATACCCGCCGGGTTTTCTCGAGCCTTCAAGTGTTAGTTAACTCGACGCGACATTTCCATCGCCACGAAGATTCGCGTGTACCGTGCATCAGCCCGATCAGCAATTCTGCACGGCTGTGAATTCTGGGTTGTGCGTGGAAGATGACTGAACACTGGGGGTATTTGACCACCACTACTTGAGGACCATCCTCCGAGTACACCGACGTCATCTCAAGTGAAACAGTCCGCACTCGTTGCGACGACATCGCAAAGGCACTCAGGAAAGACGACTGCGGTGGTTTAAAGACGTCCTTCGTCGTCCACCTCACCAGATAAGTGTTGCTGCCCTCGAACCGGCACTGTTACCCACTTGGAGACGTCGAAGAGTGGGACCAACTCAAAACCTATCTCAACACAGTCTGTCACGACGTGGAAGTGGTTGTCGGACCTTTGGTATCTGGTCACCGTCATTGACGAAGCGAATGGGTTGAGATGTCTAGACCTGCTGTCGCGTTTTGTCAAAGGTGGTGAAGTACAGTCTGTGACGTCACTGGGACCGGATAAGTCAGATATGCTCGCAGCCGTACCAAACATCAGTAAAAGAAAGCTCGTGAGATGGACGACCGAGAACGTGCCCATTCCACCTCCGTAGTCCTTATTGGATGGCCTTAGATATCCTCATGATCTTGTCGCGGCTAGTGAGGACCGTTTCATATGAGACGAAGTCGGTGTATTGCACTCGAAGGATGACCCTCAAAAAGCGGTGATCAAATACCTCCAGTCTACGCTCATCTTCCATGAACAAAATTCAGCATCCAAAATGTCGCGCGAGTCGCTGTGGCACAGGGTGAAGTGGGAGTTGACTACCGGGATCTTCATTTCCTAGGGGCCAGAGCCGGGGATTCGGACTTCAGACAGGCAGCAAACATCCACGTTGTAATGATGAGGGCTGCGCGCCATCAGACTTTGGGTACCACGGCTCAGAAACGTCCGAACATTCCAACAACCAGTGCCAAATGTCCGTTCCCCGATTAGTAGTACAGCTCGCAAAATATTCACCCGCACAACTGGACCAGGGTTGCGGTGCGCGTGGATCCCTGTGGACGCCGTAGTATGGATCGCATCACTGTAGTCCGACATTTTTACAAGATTTCTTGGGGATTTTGAGTGCAGGCAGGTCTCCAACAGCCGATCGGATTATCTGTTCTAGGTTGACTCCTCTAGCATTTTGACTAAAGGACCTAACCACAAGGCAGCAGCGGCAAATAAGTTTATTTAATGGCGGTTCGCTGCAGCCATGCCACAGTGCCGCGTACGGGCTTTGTAGTGCCCTGCAAGGCATTAGACGTGCCAGACCTTCGCTCTTCGCTCCAGGGTGGCATTGTACCCAGTAAATGCTCTTAGCAATGTCTCCCAGTCAAGGAAACGCCGCGTATTAACAGCTAGCTTCACGAGATGACCCTTCGAACCTTTCCTCAGCCATGCGCTATATATTCCCGGAAGTTGATCTGGTAGAAAACGAAACTGTCAGACGCCCTCGTAGGCAACTCCGTGGACTTGGGGATCGGCAAAATGGTTATAAGGATAGCTAATATAAATGGTATGCAATTCAAGCCTACGGTGCTAGGTCAATTCTGGCTGTGCGCTGGCACTGCGTCTGCGACCATCTCCAGTCTTATTGAGTTTGCATTTCCATTGGGATAGGGCGAGTATCGTAACAGAGGATGAGGTAAATGTTCCGCACGACTGCCTTACTAGAAACAAACCCACGTGCAGTTTACTACAACGTCCCCCCCCTCAAGAAAGTGATGAATCTAGCCGCCTTGTACGAACTAAATACCAGTTAGCCAGATGACCGTTCGGTTTGAGTAGGAGCATTCCCTCCCAGGGCAAGAAATCTGCTGACAAATCGTACAGGGAGTTAGTCTGAAATACCGGACATCAACACAGTGAAGTACTAAAAGGATCTCCTGTCACGAGTTTGAGTGCAAAATTATAGCTTTAGTGCAAATATCCAGCCATCATAGTATTCCCTCTGAATCAAGAAATAGCCCTAAAAAATAGGAAGTGCTCTACCGCTTTGGAGACCCATGTTAGAGGCAACCATTTGAATTATAAAAGCCTTGTAATATTAAAGATTAAGCGCAACACAGGTTCTATTCATAAAGGCTTACCTTCTGCAATCTCTCGAAATTTCTCACTAGCATCTGGCGACTCGTTTTTGTCGGGATGGTAAATTCTGGCCAGCTTTCTGTAGGCCGCCTTCACATCCTGCGTACTACAACCGCGCGCGACTCCCAAAATCTCATAGTAATCGGGGGTTTTGCCAGCAAAGGCGACTGACAGAAAAACAAAAAATGCGAGTCCAAGAGCGGGTGAATACATATCCCTTATGAAGGGCTGCAGTGTGATACGGTCCAGAGATTCGCGAATAAATTGGATCTTTTGTTGTAGTCAAAGAACCAACGAAGTCTCCTTTCGTCAATGAGCTAAATTATGCCTACAATGCAGGAATTCTATTTGGGAAGATCGTCATAATGAAGAGTAGCTAAGGCGCTTGGAAAATTGGAATCTCCGAGACAAACTACGAAGGCGAAAAGTCAAGCAATCTCTTTCTTTTCAGATTGTCATTCTGAAACTTATGAAGTTAGCGGCTTTAAGAGGGGAACGAACGACCCTTTTCCGAAGTTGAAATAAAGGCAGTATTGCGCAGCCTGGTTGACGTACTTATATTTACAATTTTATTTCCGCCAATGTTGACTTCACAGGTGACAAAACGTTCACTGGTGCGACGTTACGTCACAGTTTCTGCTTTCAGCCATCCTGAAAACGAGGAATGTTATTTACCATATACCGTTAAGCCTGCTAATACGCCTGTCGGTCTGCCAGACAATGAAATAAACATTTCGTAGCACGAGACTACTGGCAAAGTCATTTTGCTCCACCGAAGAGGGATAGGACGTAAAAATGCTATTATTTCGTGAAAGCTGGGGCCTCACGAGAGAACAAGGCGGTTTAGACAGACCGTCTCAAACCAGAACTCAAGGCAAAATCGGTAAACTTCACTGGCCGAACCACGAGGCTCCCGACACGCCGGGTTCCAGTGTAAAAGTCGTTAGCAGCATCACCCCTCCAGACTGTCTTCCTAACTGGCGTCACTGTGATGGACGACTGAAAAGAATGTTTATATGTGATAGCCAGGCTTGAAAAGAGTGCTGGATCAAAAGGTCCGATGTTAGAATGCAGAGTGATGTAGTCCAAGGAACCAGTATCCCAAACGGCAAGCGTAAATTGCACTAAATTAAAAATTAGAGGATGCAGGAACCGGTAGATCGGTTTGATGGCAGCCTACACGAATGCAACTTTAGCGGACGAACATTGTGCCATGGCAATAAATCCAGCCTGAGATAACAGGCAGATCTAGAGGAGAGTGCAGTTAGGCAAGCAAAGGCATACTTATTTAACAAGAGGCACCTGGGAATTAAAGTAGAGGTAGGAATAAGGATGCTGACTATTCCCAGAGGCATTGACGTATTCTAAGGAAATAAAGTGAACGGAAAGACTATGTAGCAAGGTATTCTAAAGCATCCCTGACGCCTTGGAGACCAAGGGCGCACGGTTATAATTATAAAACTGCAGTGACCCAGCACTTTTTTGCAAATCGAATGCGGTAAAGGGTGTGAAGTCGGTGGCATTAGAAAGATCTAAGATCACTGAGCAAAGCAGCACAGGGATACGTCACCAATAAAAAAATAGAATAGAATTTGGTGATCGTGAATAAAATGGCGAATTACAAGTTTGTGTACCTCGACAAGTGGGACGGCAATCCTTAAGGATCAGGCTACAAAAAACCGTGTTAAATTAAGAATTATCGACGGGAAATTGCACTTTTCGACCTTTGTATCAAGTCCAAAGTCGAGCTTGTAGATGTGATTGCAGACATTCGTATATCACAATGGTATAACCACAGACGGAATTATTCGCCTGGGCGAACATGCTTGGAACCTATTGGTGGCTGCCGCCCCAGAAGTATATCAAAATAGTATGCAACGCACAGTGCAATTAGTTTCTTAGGAACTATTGCCACTTTCTAGACATAGACGGATTCATCCTCAGAGACTTATCTCTGCAAACACGAAGCGTTTGTACCAGTGCCCTAGGGCACCCTATAGGTGGTAGGGGAGGTAAAATCTTGGGTGGAGCAGAACTCCCACGTATCGGACAGAAAGCATTTACATCAGGCTGCGCTCGCGCTTCCATTATCCCCTTCAAGCCGAACAACGTATGCGAATAAACTGCCCACCCATAGATACGTCGGCAGTAATTTTGACAGTATGAGTTTAGGTAAACAGCCACCATCCTGTGCTCGCTACGTTGGGGCTGCAGGAGCGTGTCTCGCCACCGCACAGTAATAACTGTGCGACCAATCAGGTGACGAGATAACCCAATCGCGAGTTTTCCGCGATATGAGTGCATCAGGTAGCTATTCAATGCTACTAGGGAAGTCATTCTGACGGATTAATCACTGCAAATAGTGCTCAGGTGAAATCCATAATAATTGAGATTCTTCACTGTTTTCAACAGTCAATAGCAAACGGCACATTAAAAGTCAGATCCGCACATATGTTTGCTACAAATGTAGCAAACCCATAGAAACTACAAATTCTAATAGGCTGAGAGAATATGGAAACTAACAGCAAAATTTCAGCCATTTTAAACAATACACTTCTACAATAATTTTTAGTATACCTTTTTCATCGTATTTGGATAGTGCCTAATATTCGTACGTGTTTTCTGTGCATATTCGCAACATTCAAAAGGCGAGGCGGGGCCATCATCGCAGTAATAAAGTGTACTTTTGTACATTTTACACGTTTTACAATTTTAAATAAGTTTGTTTGCATTTTCCAAGGGGACAACCTTTCTTGTATCACTTAAGTGCCATTAGCTATGAACATGCTGGGTGGTAAACAGTAAAACCAGAGTTGCGGGGTGGGGGTCACTGACAGCGGCTATATGTAGGCTGGCGTTCGGATGAAAATTTCAGTTAAGAAACGTCGGTACCGATTCGTGACCGATTCGCTTAACAAACGCGTATTCGATTCAGATTCTACAGATAAAAACTGACGCCTCGATTCGCTTCGGATTCAGTTTTCATTCTTTAGTCATTGCTGTCAGGGCACCACAACTAATAACTTCCTGACTACTGCCAATCATAAAATTAAAGACCTACGACTTAAAAAAGAATGGCAGGCCAGAATTTCACGACCGTTCTGTGCAGCAGATGGCCAGGACATATTTTGACATCAGGCAGAGGGGTGAGACGAACAAAAAGCACTCACATCGACCAGGTGGTGTTAAAAATTTGGTTATCTACACGCCACGCTTATTCAACCCGTCCAGGTATAGGCGGACTGATGGCCAGCCCAATGCCAGCACTTCATATTTTGGCGTACAGTTTCAGTCTTGATTAGCTATTTAGCTGATGAAGACCTTGGAAGTAATACTGTACTGTACTACTCACCGGCCGAACATTTTGGGTCAGGCACCTACGGAGGGCACCGTGAGGCCCTGGGAATAACTCAGGACTTAGAACGAACTAAGAAGTTATTAGGCGCGTTATTTCACGCGTACGGGTGACAAGAAATGAGCAGAATTTGATTGGTACAAATACACGTACATAACGGGAAGGGAAGGAAATTCATTATACACTACCCCAGTAGCAAGAGTATATCGAGTCCAAATACTCCAAAAGCGTTCTTCGATATACAATTTCTCGTAACCTCATTGGCTTCTACGCCTGCACATTCTTGTCTGTCATTGGTTGGCGTACGTTTAAGTCGTTGCGAAATCGCGCGCTTACCCTTGCACGCTATTATTTGTTGACAACAGCGTAGGGCGCGTGACTGTGTTGCATCCTTCTTGTTCTTTGTTGTTATTGCCATCTATCAGTTTATTTTCCATATCCTACTGTCATTATGCTTGAGGAAGAGTTCAAGAGAACACGAAGACGTCGAATCAAGCGATGTGGGGACAAAATATTTAGAGAAATTGAAGGAACGGTGCGAAAACGACGGTCGTTTGTAAATGTTGCATAAGCCACAGTACGCAGTTGCTCTGTTGTACATGAATCGATGCAACAGCACGGACAGACATCAACACCGGTAAATGTAGTAGTTCCCGTCTACAACGACTCCCAGGAAGACATAGAAACTGACAACACAGTAATCACTTACGTAGCTAATGTGTACGTCAGTAAAGTGCGCGAATGGGCCTGACAAAACAACATAGCACACTCTCATCTGCGAGAACTAATAGATATATTTCGACCGGTCGTTCCGCAACTTCCGACAGATCCAAGAACTTTGCTGGGGGCGTCGTACAATTTGGAAGTAGTTCCGATGGGTAGTGGAGAACACGTCCATGTACGTTTGGAACGACAACTTCTCAGACTGCTCAGTCAGATGACCGTCCCCACACCAGAGGTGACGATCTACCTGGCTATCGACGGTCTCCCAGTTCAGTTCAGTTCAGTTCAGTTAATTGAGGGAAATGTAGGTCTTCACCTTTGAACTCCCTGTTTGTGTACATGCAACTGCAAAATCTCAAAAACTCGAAAAGGTATCATAAAGGGAACAAATAATCGGAAAAGCGTCAGACCTGTACAGACAAACAAACCGTCTCGAATGTTAGTGGTACGAGCAGTTGTAGGGCGGTCGTTTCGAGTGCAGCGAAATAAATGATATATCCGGTGACAAAAGTTGCAGAGGTGCATGTCAGTAAGCGTATGCGATGGGTTGGGGACAATAATAAATCCAATTTAAAATGTTACTGAAATATAGCAAGTAGTATTATAACACGGAATTTGTCATGGTTACAGAGGTCGGGTGGTAATTTAGTGGACACTGCTACACAAATCCAGTTTCCTCTTAAAGACCTCGACGGAATCAGACATAACGAACTCCACAGGCAGGGCATTCCAGGCTTCTAGCACTCTGTTAGAGAAGACGAACTTTCGGGTGTCCAGTCTGGCCCCTGCCACACGTAGTTTGAATGAATGGCCTCGTAGATTTGTGGTGATTGCTAACTCGAAGAAGCCCCACCGTACGAAAATGCAGTCCTGATCGCGTATGATACGGAAGGCTTGTATCAGGTCACCCCGTAACTGCCTGTAACTCAAGGGAAAGAGATCAAGGTTATCTAACCTGTTGCATATGGTAGTGAACACTGTCCTGCCACAAGTTTCGTTGCACGCCTTTGAACCCTTTCAAGGATGCTGAGGTCCTTCGCGGTCCAGGGTCTCCAAACTTGGATAACAAATTCTAGTTGCGGACGCACAAACGTTCGAAAGACTTTAGCGAAGCAGTCTTCATCAAAGGGGGAGA